CAAACAAACTGATGGTAGGTACCAGCCCTTTCCTTATCAAAATTTACAAACAAGTTAAACCTCAGGAAGCTCCACTTCTTTCTGTTTACATTCTTTTGTCCTGATACTGATTGCTGTAGGAATTTGGGGTATGCCTATGCGGCGCCACGCTGAGACACCACATCTGCTCCATGTGCCTTATTCTCCAGTCAGAAGGCGCACAGCCAAGTAGTTCTGTAGATGGACCAATAAACTCTGCAAGATGCTGCCTACTACAGCTGAGAGAGCCACTGAGAGAGCCTTCCTGGGTGGTGTATCTCAGTAGGGAGCTCCAATGTGCTACACAGATATACCTCAAATTTCTTGTTCATTTAAATTTTTCAAGTTGTGCTTTTCTAGAATAAACAGTAGAATAACTACTAAAATTAAAGCAAAAATGCACAATTTTTCAGGCTAGAAGGCCTTGCTTATCCCCAAACAACAAGGTTCTAAACCACAGCTATTTGAGCATGATTTACCTCTTAACTGCTTCCAAAATAATCACCCAAGAACCACCTGACTGCACAGTGGATCATGACTAAATGGAGATATGTAAAATACAACACCAGCACAGGTGGTGCTTGGACCTAGCCTTAACCAGCAAAAGTTTTCAACTTGTTGGTAGATTTTGTTTTGTATTTTAAACATAGAAACTCAGTTTTGTATATCAGATAACATTAGAAAGCTAAATAAAAATGCAGATGATTAGACACCCACAGTATTGCTTTTGCAGTCCACTGTGTTACTCTTCTGTTTTCTGGGTTATAGACTAAGCAATGCAATAAGTATCCTTTCATATACAAGCTTTTATTTGATTCTATTTGACACTGCTTGAATAAAAATTAATTAGACTTCACATCTGGCTCTGACCTCTCACTGTTTCCTCACAATCCTTCTAAATTTTAGAAAACACTGGGAGGCAAGCTGCCAAAGCACTTTAGTGAATAATAACAGTAAATGGAGGAGGGGTGGGGAGAAAGAGAACTACACTGTTTATTATGGTATTAAAAGTTAAAAGTGAAAGGCAGATTTCAGAGGGGGAAAAAATGTCCTATGAGGTTACCATTCTGAGAGATTCAGAGCTTGTTTACAAAGAAAAGTTTCTCTCAAATAAGATAGGGTATAAATTTAAAATATAGTGGCTATTTGCCATTCATATGGTTACTCTTACTCTGAATAACAATGAGCACAAAGGAAACTATTCCTGTCAATGTACATGTGCAAACAAGTCCTTAGTGATGCAAAGGTCAAAGTAAGGCAGGTTCTTCATAACCTCCTTTTTTTTTTTACCCAGGTCCCACTGTATCATTTTGCAACCACACACAAAGCAGAAAGTGTAGGTCCCTTGTTGAACACAAGGGCAATCTAGAAATGGAAGCTGCTGAAGCATTTATTTTTTTAACTTGAGTATTCACAAATAAGGTCAGCTACTAGATGACAGGCACAGTTGGCAGCAAAGACAGAGGAAGAAATAAGCAAGCTAGAGCAGGGAAAGAACAAGAGATTTACGTAGAGGAGCTGAATGTTTTCAAATTAACACTGCCAGACAAGCCACATTCTAGACAACTCAAGGAACTGGTGGAGGTAATTGCAGAGCCACTGGCTTCTCTCTTTGTGACCTCATGGAGGTTGGGTGAGGTCCCATATGAGCAGGAAAGGAGAAATATGGTGCGTATCTTTACAAAAACAAAAACGAGGATGATCCATGGAATTAGACTGGTCAGTCTGACCTGGAAACCAGGAAAGACCATTGAGTAGGGCAGCAAGGAATCTACTTCTAAGTGCCTAGAGGATAACAAAATGACTAGGAATCACCAGCACAGATTCACTTAAATCAAGTCATGTCTGATCGACCTGATTTGCTTTTATGACAAGGCAACAGGCTTTCTGGGTGAAGGGAAAGCAGTGGCAGTGGATGTGATCTACCTCAGCTTCAGTAAAGCTTTCAATACTCTCTCTCATGAGATGTGTTCAACCTGTAGCATGTGTAGCAGGGTAGTCTTTATGTGTCTTACCATATAAAAGATGGGACAGGAAGCAGAAAGGAGAGCAGCAGATTGGTCAGGGGGAGACCAGAGTAACACTCAGGGATGCCATGGATTTTAATTTGTGGCACACCTCCCAAAAAGGTTGGCCTCTACTGGTTTAGAAGAAAGTACTGTAAGGTGCACACATAACAAGTGGAATCATCAAGCTCAAAGGGAAGTCATCAATGGTTTGATATCTAAGTGGGAATAGGTACTGACCAGGGTTACTCAAGAATCTGTCCTAGGTTCATTGTTTAACTCCATTGTTAAAGTCATTGTTAATGACTTTGAGAAAGGGCCTGAATGAAAGGTTAGCAAATTTGCAGCTGACAAGGTTGGTGGAGTTGCAAACACACTGGAGCACAGAATTAGGACTCAGTTCTGCACTTAAGACAGAACCATCAGACACATAAATACAAACTGGTGATGGATGAGCTACACTGCAGTACTGCAAAAAGAGACCTGGGATTTATGACAGAACATAAGCCAAAAACAAGTTACAATAGATACATTAGCTGCAAAACAATCCAACAGCATACCAAATGACATTAACAAGAATGTCACTTGCAAGTCAAAGTGATTTTTCTATTCAGTTTAGTGCTAGTGCGGCCTCACCTGGAGTACTAAGTTCGCTTTTGGGCAGTGTATTTAAGAGAAACATGGACAAACTAGGAAGAGTCCAGTGGAGAGCAACAGAAACAATCAGAGGTTTAGGAAACAAGATAAAAAAGGAACGTCTGGAAGAACTATTTAGTCTGAAGAAGAGAACACTGAAGGGGGATTTGATATGTCTTCAAATACCCAAAATATGATTGTAAATAGGACACTGGTTCCCAGCCTCAGGGCACAACCCAAATCAGGGTCACAGGAGTCCTTAGTAGGGTTGCAAAGGGCCCGTGCACAACACACACGTGACCCGGGAGCTGTGGGCAGGGCAGGGCTGCCGTGAACAAAGTGAGCAATGGTGGCTCCCCCATCCCTGCCCCCAGGCTGCTGTTGTCACTGCCACCACACTGCTTCCAGCAACCCCCACAGCACTTAGTCGGGAGGTTCTGTTGGTGGCCAGTTTAGGGTTGCAGCAAAAAAAAGGTGGGGAGCTACTTAAATAGGATGTTGACAACTGACTATTCACCATAGATACAAGGGACAGGACAGGATATAGCCATCTTAAATTGCACCAAGGAAAATTTTGGTTACATATTAATTCTCTCACCACGAGAGCTGCTAAACATTCAGAGTAGCGCCGGCTGGCAGGGGATCCCGGGGGGGGGTCAGCTTGCCAGCCGAGGCCTGCTCTGACGCTGCTCAACATGCTGCGGCAGGGCTGGCTAGGGCACAAGGGTGCTCCAGTGTGGGGCTAGCTGGCAGCACCTTTGTGCCCCAGCCAGCTACTTCAGTGTCTGCATGTGCACTGCTGCAGAATAAAAAAAACTCCACAACAGGATAGTACTTGTATTCACTATCCTGCTGCAGAGTTTATTAATTTACTCCAGCCTAACAGCCCTGCACCTGTAGATGCCAGAAGTTTACTGCAGAGCTAATTAGTCAACTCCACAATAAACTCTCATGTGGACACGTCCCTAGAGAGGTTTTGGATTCCCCATCCCTGGAAGTTTTTAGAGGTTAAACACTGGGCTAGGACAGTTTGGACAGAAATGATCCTGCTTTTAGCAAGTGGTTGGACTAGATAACCTTTTGAAGCCCCTTCCAGCCCTATTTTTCTATGATTCTATGCAAGGACTTATAGCAAGGTATGGCATACTCTGAACACACCTTCATCCTCTGGGGAGACGTACTCCAACAGAGACTATGAGAATGAATCTGAATTCTGGAAGCTGTTCACTACCCAGGGAAAACAGAATACCTGAAATATTTTTTGAGCAAGGCCCTGGCCCTTTGATCTGCTCTGGCAGTATGAAAAGGCTGCAGCATATTAGAAAGTTTAGCTCACAGAATTCAGGAGAAAGATGAATTAATGTAGCCCTTCCCCTGAACCCTACATTATACAGGACAGAATATTAAAACACATGTTGCTTGTCACTGTTATAAAACTGTTACAAAAAAGTTTAACTTCTGCTATTTGTATAGTACAGTAATCATAGTTACCTAAATCTACGACAACTTCAAATTTGAGATGATTTTCCACTAATTAGACTCTTTACATGGAAAATTATAACATCTTTATAATTTTGCATCTACAGAGACTCTAATTATTGGGGGTCATCTTAAATGTGAAGTTGTCCTGGATTTGGGTAAATGTGGTGGGAAGTTACACATGTGCTATAACATGTGCAGAATCTAAATAGTGGAAGGTCATCTTAAATCATCCCCTTCCTGCAGTGATGGGGCAGGAGAAGGAGTGGCAAAGAGCAAGAGATCTGCTGCTCACCCCACGTCTGTGCCAGACCCGGCTCCCCCCTGCCCCTCTGTGCCTGAGCCTGTTCCTGCTCCCTACATCTTCCCCCCACGCCTACTTCCAGCTCTGACAGGCGGCCGCAGCAGCAGGCCGGACTCTGCCCAGCCCAGGAGAAGCGGTGGCAGCCCCCAGCCAGGCAGGAGCGGGCAGGGGCGCCAGCGCTGGAGCAGAAGGTCAGACGGGAAAAGGCAGCTGGGGGGAGGGGCAGAGCCAGAGAAGGTGAGGGAGGGGGGCAGGGAGGGAGCATGGAGGCAGCCGGG